AAGTGCAAGTGTCACCTCGTACAGTGTCATTTCGGAAAGCCTTAGTGTTATTTCGTACAGTGTCATTGCGTAAAGTTTAAGTGTTATTTCGTACAGTGTCATTTCATAAAGTGTAAGTGTCACCTCGTACAGAGTCATTGACTCAAGTGTCGTCACAGTGTTCATGTTATGGTGGTAGTTACTACAATAGCATATCGAAAAATAAACGGGTCAGGACATGTTCGCCCCATATCACATATCATATTTTTAATGATGGGGGTGCGCGGGGTCCGGGGGTCACGGGGTCGGGGGAAAAGGGGGGTGGGGGTGTTGTTTTGTTTCACCAAGGATTCCTAGAATAACACCTGTGTTGAATCTGGAGCAGCAAAGTGAGTGCTTCTTAATCTGAAAGTGGGCAGCTCTTGCCCCAAGCAGTGGCACGTCAAAGTGAGTGTTTCTTTGTCTTATCGTGGGCAGCTCTATACCCAGGGCGCGTCGTCGAGGTGGGCATACACCTGCGCTCCTACCCACTTGCGCTCCTACCCACCTGCACTGGTACCCACATGCGCTCCTACCCAACTGCGCTCTTTCCTAATTGTGCTCCTACCCAACTGCGCTCCTACCCAACTGCGCTCCTACCCAGCTGCGCTCCTACCCAACTGCGCTCTTACCCACCTGCGCTCCAACCCACACTAATTCTATCCACCTGCGCTCCCACCTGCGCTCCTACCCACTCCGCTCTTAAAGTAAGTGTTGATAGACGGGTGTGTATATTTGTGTTTACTTTGGTTTTAACGTTGGGCCACATGAGTAAGACCACTGTTGCTGGAACGCTGAGGTGGCCGGCTGTCGTCAGAGGCCAGAGGTTGAGATCAGAGGTGAGTTCTGTTTCATTTGACCCTTTATCAGAGTTGTATTATTGTTGTACGATGTTTCAACCAGCCGAGTATGAGAAAGTGAAGGGAAGAGGCCCCGAAATATTGGACGGATGGGTTTGGGAAAAATTAATAACTGGAATCTGAGAATACAGCTTTCATACTCTAACTGGGATCTGCAAATACAGCTTTTATACTCTAACTGGGATCTGCAAATACAGCTTTTATACTCTAACTGGGATCTGAGAGTACAGCTTTCATACTCTATTTCTTCTAAACTGAATCTTCTATTCAACAACCCCCTGAATTAATCAACACGATATCCTACATCCGGTTCACACAGACATTCACACAGAAATTCACACAGAAATTCACACAGACTATTGGGGGACTTCAGATGCCGGCCAAGCGGAATTTACGTCATAAATAAACAAAACAAAAAAACAAAACATGATTGAACTGCAAAAGTAGTTTCTCATTCGATGCGTTTTGCCGGCGCTTTGAATTCCCTCAATATGTGTGTCAACATTCCCACATGTATTCTGTTATACATGGGCCAGAATGAGCGATACAATTTTAATGGGGGACGAAGACTTCGCCCCGGGTGCAGCTTTTCGTCGGCACGGCCCTGTGGGGGTGTGTTGGGGAGAGGGTGGGTGGGTGGGCGATGTTGTGTGTGTGTGTAATAACTTTTTTTCAGGTTGAGGTTCATTGATCAGGTCACATGACAGTTTTAATCATATCTGTAACAAGCCAGCTGTATCCGCAACATGACTGCAACTAACACCGTGGCACGTGTGCACCCAAATGTTTACGTGCTAAGGCCCCAGTTAAATCTATAAAGTCATTGAATATAAGCCCTATCATGGGATGTAACCGAAAAAAACATGATGTGACTTTTCACCCAAAACTCATCATGTGACTTATCACTCAAAACTCATGATGTGAATTATCACTCAAAACTCATGATGTGACTTATCACTCAAACTCATGATGTGACTTATCACTCAAAAGTCATGATGTGACTTATCACTCAACATTCATGATGTGATCTATCACTCAACATTCATGATGTGACTTATCACTCAACATTCATGATTTGACTTATCACTCAACATTCATGATTTGACTTATCACTCAACATTCATGATGTGACTTTTCACCCAAAACTCATGATGTAACTTATCACTCAACAACCATGATGTGACTTATGACCCAACACTTATGATGTGACGTATCTTATCGTGGGTGTCACCCAGTGATATAACTCAACTGAAATCTGCCCAAGGTTAACTCTGACCACCCCCCCCCCCCACCCATCCCGGTGATCAGCCCCCCCCCCCCAGGAACGCTTTTGGTTAGGGCTTCGACTTTAAAATGATCGTTTAGCCTATGCATAAGGACTTCTCATAAGGACTTCTCGGCTATTTCAATTCGTCTATAAAAATATATCTGATGCCTGACAGCAAATATTGATGTAATTAAATGCAGACATGATATTCTGCCTCGGCGGCACCTTAACGTGGTGTGGTGTGGTGTCCCCTGGTACAGCTCATTATACCATTTTAGCAGGTTTTAATGATATACTGCGGGATCTCAACAAGTTACTTTGATATAATAGGACCAGAGCTCTCACATTTCAAACACATGTTGGCCACATCAGGGGCGTCTACATGGGGGGGGGGGCGGGGGCGGGACGGGGGGAGGACACACACCCCATTCTGAAATCGCTCTGCAACGTATCTGAAATTAACACACAAAAAAACCAAACAGGAAGCGTCATAGTGCCACATTTTTATAATGTCAAAGTTTCTAGGAAGTTGGACATGGTTTAGCAGTCCACGCGGTAAGGTTACGCCTGGACCTACTTTTGATGGTGTAGACCGACACATGATGTAGCGGACATACTTTTAATGGTGTGCACTGGCATATAATGTAATGGCCCTTCTTGTTATGTGGGGGGAAAAATCGATCATTTATTAATGCAGGGGGCGCTAAACCCAAAAGTGACAGCCCGACCCCCCCCCCATCCCCGTTTTTTTTTCTCTTTAACTGACGCGATGGCTCTAGGCAAACTCAAGGATCCCTGTAACTGTCGCTTACACCTGTTTGCGCCATGAAATGATCCGACATACGTATGATGTCAAGAAAGAAACTTGGACACACCATAATGGGATTAAAATAATAACAGTTCGCCCTTTTGTGCTGTCATCAATGTTAGAATGCGATATTGTCTAAAATGTTTCATTTCCGGAAAATTACGCCAATGTTACAGTATGTTACAGCAAATTACGGCACAATTATGGCACAGTTACGGTAATGTTACAACAAAGTGAGTACACATTTACGGCAATGTAACGGAAATGTTACGTCAGTTATGGCAAAATTATGGCACTGCTACGGTACATTTACAGCGCAGTTTTCCAAGACATCCAGTGACTTGGGGGGGGGGCAGTATGGTGGGGGCGGTCCAAATCCGGCCGGCCCTTAATCTAATTACGCCAATGAAGACGGCTTCAGTGAGATGGCTTCAGTCTCAAGTCAGGATGCAAGTGAGATGGCTTCAGTCTCAAGTCAGGATCCAAGTGAGATGGCTTCAGTCTCAAGTCAGGATGCAATTGAGATGGCTTCAGTCTCAAGTCAGGATCCAATTAAGATGGCTTCAGTCTCAAGTCAGGATGCAAGTGAGATGGCTTCAGTCTCAAGTCAGGATCCAAGTGAGATGGCTTCAGTCTCAAGTCAGGATCCAAGTGAGATGGCTTCAGTCTCAAGTCAGGATCCAAGTGAGATGGCTTCAGTCTCAAGTCAGGATCCAAGTGAGATGGCTTCAGTCTCAAGTCAGGATCCAAGTGAGATGGCTTCAGTCTCAAGTCAGGATCCAAGTGAGATGGCTTCAGTCTCAAGTCAGGATCCAAGTGAGATGGCTTCAGTCTCAAGTCAGGATGCAAGTGAGATGGCTTCAGTCTCAAGTCAGGATCCAAGTGAGATGGCTTCAGTCTCAAGTCAGGATCCAAGTGAGATGGCTTCAGTCTCAATTCAGGATCCAAGTGAGATGGCTTCAGTCTCAAGTCTCCCCGTTGTGTTATAACCAGCTGATCACTTTATTATAATTTGTGTGTGTGCATCAAATCATTTATGGCACTAAATCCACATTTAGCTAAAGATGGAGATGGAAACAATAACAATAGTTTTCTTGCACATTTGGTTAAAATTTGGATCTTTGATTTGTGTTTCCCCACAAGGCCACGCCATCGCTCCTTGTATATTAAATAAAGTTTGAACTGACTCGGCATTTTGCATCAGACAAATCCACTAGCATTAGCTTCAGCATCCAGGTTGGAAAATCAATTTGTTTCAAATCCGAAAATCTTTATTTTAAATCAGCCAATAGGATTTTCAGATGATCGAATAACAAGTATAGCGGTATCATTCACTTCACATTTTTGGTACCAATGACACTTAAAAAAAAAATTTTGTTGTAAATATGCTTCTGATAAAATTTAATAAATGTAATGAAACAAAATATCTTTACTTTTGCATCGAAAAGAGTTTTATTTGTTCTTTGAAGTTGTTTATTTAATATATTTAGCTTTTCAAAGATATCGGCTAAATTACTCACACATGCTTTACCACCAACCGATTATCAGATACTTCATTTCAGGTTTGTCTCTTTAATAAATTGCATGAATATCAAATAGTTCCATAAATCTGTTCAAGCCTTTTCCTTTCGAAAGACATCTTTCTTCAATGTGAATTTAAAATCTCACATAGTCTGCATTTTGTTCTTTACAAAATAACTTGAAGTTCAAATTAGACATTAGCTTTAATAGCATTGATACACTTTAGAACTGAATTGAGTACTTCATTTAGAACAGGCGAAATGTTTTTAGCTACCAAGTTTTCCCTATGAATAACACAATGCACAAGTGGCATTTCTGGATTCTCATCTTACATCAATTTTAAGCAGCCATTTTTCTTGCTCATCATATTAGGAGCACCAACTGCAGGACAAGATGTTATATTTTTCATTGGTATATTATTGACATCTAAGTAATTTTTACCTTATTATATATATATGTCTTTGGCGGTATTGGTTCTTTCTAATGATTTAAAGAACATTTATTCAGCAAAATACCCTTAATGATAATATCTCACGTAAGTTATCAATCCAGCCTCACTGTCTCTCAAAGTTTATTCATCCATTTGCACTGAGAATTCTCTTGTTTTCAGCTTTTCAACAAGTTGTATTTCAATATCTTCACTCATTTCGTCTATTCGTCTGCTAATAGTATTGTTACTGAGTGGCATAGCTTTCGCGTCTTTGTCATCTTTTTCCAGAACCGTTTTAAGAAATACTGGTATTGGTGGTTTGATTAAATTCTCTCCTCAGGTATGGTTTTGTCCAGATTTAGCGATGAGTAAGGACATTTCATAACTAGCCTCCAGAGTACGATTGACAGTGGCAGTATGAGCAGTACATAGAGACTTTAATGTTGCTCTTCTTAAAAAATAATACTTGTTAAATCATAGTGGAGGGTTGGGTTTCAAATTCTAGACAGCTCCTTTTCCATTCCCCCCCCCACCAAACACTCAAAGCGCCCCATTGGTGGGGCGTGGGGCCCCACGTTGGGAAACACCCTTGTATACTGACGTATCCTCAACCCCCCAAAAACTTGACTCAAGGTAGGAAGACATGGCTTTCTCGTAATTGATATATTATTGACATGTTTGTAGAAAGAAAAAAAACAACTGGCTTATCACACAGTCCTTCCGTATACAAATAGGATTGGTTCGTTATGTAAATCATTCACCGTCAGACCAAGCGTGCTGGATTTAGAGGAGGTTTAATACCTACGTTTGAGTTACACTCGATCGGACGGGACATCAGACCAGAACACGGGTGGCAGTGTTCAGTGAGACGTCAGACCAGAACACAGGTGGCAGTGTTCAGTGAAACGTCAGACCAGAACACGGGTGGCAGTGTTCAGTGAGACATCAGACCAGAACACGGGTGGCAGTGTTCAGTGAGACATCAGACCAGAACACGGGTGGCAGTGTTCAGTGAGACATCAGACCAGAACACGGATGGCAGTGTTCAGTGAGACATCAGACCAGAACACGGGTGGCAGTGTTCAGTGAGACATCAGACCAGAACACGGGTGGCAGTGTTCAGTGAGACATCAGACCAGAACACGGGTGGCAGTATTCAGTGAGATGAACCTGGGGCTTGGATTGGAACCATCGTACTGAACTTGTTGAGTGCGGCACACGCTGAGAGTCATCTGACGCACTGTGTGAATATTCAATGTAGGATTATTTGATAAAGAAATATTTGGATTATTGATTTTAGCAATATTTGGATTATTTGATTATAGAAATATTTGGATTATTTGATTACAGCAATATTTGGATTATTTGATTACAGCAATATTTGGATTGTTAATTATTGCAATATTTGAATTATTTGATTACAGCAATATTTGGATTATTAATTATTGCAATATTTGAATTATTTGATTACAGCAATTTTGTAAAATTTTTATAATAGCATTATTTTCATGATTTGATTACAGAAATTTTTGGATTCTTGATTATGTCAATACTTGGATTTATTTTATTATAGCACTATTGGATACAGACAATTGTTAAGTAAGAAAATGGTGGGTTCATTAATCATATTTGAAACTGTTTAATGTCGGCGGTTGTAAAACACATATACAAATTGTTTGGTTAAATGTGATGCCATAATTATATCTTTCATTGTGTTTAATTTGTGCAATTACATTGTAGCTATTTTAACATCATACACAGAGACGGAATTAACTAGTTTAACATCAGACAGACGCAGAGAAAGACAAAGAACAATTTCGTAAATTATATAATTTTTTTCACCAACGGCTCTGTCCGGCTGAAGTGCGCATGCCCCAGTGGCTGATGCATCATGATGAGGCAAATGAACATCACGAGTTGACGTTTAGGAAAACGTCCTTGTTCTTTTAAATTGAAGTGATCATGTTGGACAAATGCAAAGTCTTTGTTTTAGTCAAAGGTCTTGTTCACTTTTACCTCGACTATATCATACTTGATTATATACCTAGGTGAAGGTCACACGAGATACAGTGCATTGAAATGGAACACCGAAGACAAACAACGGCCTACGACAAAGCAGGGGATCGTTTTATTGTCCACGTCGGTCTAGCAGAAACTAGCGGCAAAACTGGAGAAGGCGATGCTTGTCTGGAGCCGCCTCACCTACTGGATCTGCCCCATGAACTACTCTTGGTGAGTCGTTGGTCTGAATGGGATTGTGTGCCCCAACATTCATTTCAAGCGCTCCAGTTTTGAGTCGCTCATGAAGTTAATTTTGTTATGTATGTGGATGACGTCAATTCTTCTTCGTGTATGTGGATGACGTCAATTCTTCTTCGTGTATGTGGCTGACGTCAAGTCTTCTTCGTGTATGTGGCTGACGTCAAGTCTTCTTCGTGTATGTGGCTGACATCAAGTCTTCTTTGTGTATGTGGCGGAGGTATTTATTTGAAATGTTACAAATGTGTGAGCATTAAAATATTTTTAAATCCTTTAGATTAACTTCGCTTTTGTTCGTGGTTGGCAATCTTACGACTGCTAATTGACCCATTACTCGTCAACCTATCCAGCTGGAAATTGGTTTATAGACCCTTTGTCAGGTGATACCACATTCTTTAAAATGTCCAACCCCCCAAAATCAGCTTTTCCTGTTTTTCAAGGGGAAGATGAATGAAATATGATGCCACCGATTTCATGAAATGGAATTCCCAACTTCGCTAAATGAGATTTTTTAAAGAAAATACCGTCAGTGTGTTTGGTGCGTAATGTTATCTTTTGTTTTTCTAAAACAGTTTGTGAAATAAATCCGTGATGTAAAAGCGGGTAGGTCATTAGCATATTAATGTAAAATAAAAAAAATAAAAAATGCATATACAGGATTTATATGAAAAAAAAATTAATTGTTTGGTAGGGGTTCTTTGAATTAATGTTCTTACTACTGCACAGCTCATCTTCAAACACCTTCCCGCCAGTTCTCTGCTCGCCTGCATCAGAGTGCACACCACGTTCAGACGTCTCATCTTTGATGCACAGTTTCTCGACAACCTCACGCGGCAAACACTGGGACTTTTGAACAAGGCAGGTCAGCGCTACTCTATAACCGACACGTTACATTTTGTACTCCACTTACTCCGAGTTTAGTTACCCGTCGCGTCTGCCAGTGGTCATGTTTTAAAATGTTTTACTATGTAAGTAGAGTGCCCTATCATTTAAAATACAAATACATTTGTTTTTAAAAAGCACGCTAAAGGCCAGAGCTAATTAAACATAACTACGACTACGAATGGTTACTCTTGTGGACTGAACAATTCAAATTGTGCACACCAAATGAAATAGGCTTAAACACTCGTGCCGTGGCCACAGTCACGTCTCAGTCACGTCACAGTCATGTCACAGTCACGCCATCCATGATGTTAACTAAATTATCATCAGACGTCGTGTTTAAATGGCTTAGCTAGTGTTGTGTTAAGGGGTTTGATTTCGGTGGTGAAGTGTCCAAACAAATTACACAAATTGCTTACTTGTTTTAAAAATATTATTTACGTTTACTTTGTACAAGCGTGGTTAAAGTACAAGTGGGGTCAGCGTACAATGGGAGCTAGCGTTATGACTTAAGTGAGCAGGTTAACGTACAAGTGGGGTCAGCGTACAATGGGAGCTAGCTTTATGACTGAAGTGAGCAGGTTAGCGTACAAGTGGGGTCAGCGTACAATGGGAGCTAGCGTTATGACTGAAGTGAGCAGGTTAACGTACAAGTGGGGTCTGCGTACAATGGGAGCTAGCGGTATGACTGAAGTGAGCATGTTAACGTACAAGTGGGGTCAGCGTAGAATGGGAGCTAGCGTTATGACTGAAGTGAGCAGGTTAACGTACAAGTGGGGTCTGTGTACAATGGGAGCTAGCGTTATGACTGAAGTGAGCAGGTTAACGTACAAGTGGGGTCTGCGTACAATGGGAGCTAGCGTTATGACTGAAGTGAGCAGGTTAACGTACAAGTGGGGTCAGCGTACAATGGGAGCTAGCGTTATGACTGAAGTGAGCAGGTTAACGTACAAGTGGGGTCAGCGTACAATGGAAGCTAGCGTTATGACTGAAGTGAGCAGGTTAACGTACAAGTGGGGTCAGCGTACAATGGGAGCTAGTGTTATGACTGAAGTGAGCAGGTTAACGTACAAGTGGGGTCAGCGTACAATGGGAGCTAGCGTTATGACTGAAGTGAGCAGGTTAACTCCAACAAAAACTCCAACAAAAAAACTCCAACAAAAAACTCCAAAAAAAAAACTCCAAATTTGCAAATTTAAGAGTCCGGCTTCCAGCTTCTGGGAGATTGGATCAATGACGTCATTGCTTTCAACTAGGTTTATGCATAGAGCTTCCCGGGGTTCAGTGTATTTTCAGGGAAGACGAAGAAACAGACCTTATGGCCTGTGTTTGATTTGTTCAAATCAAGACAAGCATTTAACAGAGTACTTTTCAAATTATACTTTCAGATTTTTGTTGTTGTTGTAATAAATCTGATTATCGGAATAAACTTGCTAATAGTTTTTTTTAAAATTTGCTTTCATTAAACTAAATACGTTATAAATCTTTAACAAAACTTTCACGATACTATCTAGTCTTGGAAGACAAATTCAAAACTGTACCCATGTATCTTATTATTTGTCTTTTGTATTATCATTTTGCTAGATGATGACATCAGATACGACACTCTACCTTGGTCGCTTTCTCCCTCAATGGAGCTCTGGTTCCTGACCCACAACGCCGTCCTGTCCACCTACGACGACAGCAGGTCCTCGATGACCAGGGAAAGTTTTCTCTTTCCCCTCGAGTGCTTCCACCATTCCCTGATGACGTGGCTGGCCCAGTCCATGGGGGCTAACATATCAACCATTGACCTTAGACCAAACAACGTCACCAACAAGACTATGCGCGTTATCCGCGAAAATCTGTTTACAACTGTCCATTCACTTCCGGTGTACCTCCTCCAGCCTCTAACCAAATTTGCTTTGGCATTCCCGGAAATCATATCCAAATCTATCGCAGCCACGCATTTTTCCTTGCACCAAGGAAAGCCGTCTCACCTAAGGAACCCCTGGTACGAAGGTTTTACTCATGAGCAGCGTAACACTTTTGACCCCCAATATTCTATGGAGATAATGTTCGGCCAGACCGTGGACTCCTTCTCGAAGATGTCCGCCATGGCCATCGTCTTCGGTTCTAAGGAGTGGCTCGTGTGGACGGGTAAGGTGGCCGAGTTCCCAGGATGCAAGTTTGAAGAAACGTGGACGACGGCGTGCCTTGATACACACTGCAGTATCCAAACAGTGGAGCACATGTGCAGGGGGGCGGTCGACGCCATCGCAGAGCACACGCTTCCTCACCAAGTCATCAACCATCAGTGGAAGAGACAGAACCTCTTCCCCGGACTTTGCCACCGAATCCACCAGCGACACAGAGAGGAACTCGTATCTCATATTTTAGAAGAGACGAACTCCTTGTCTCATCGACTTCAACTTTTGCTAAACAGCGAACGGTTCGCCAACAATAAACCGAATAGTCTGACGAAACTCTTAAATCACCTGCAACTTCCTCTCCATCAAAACGGCCACCAAAACGCGCAGCTGTTCACCGACAAACCGGTCGCCGTAGATTCGATCGCGCTCACCATTAAGACACACCTGCACGCGATGTTCTTCGCAGAAGTCATGGAATACAACACTGACCACGACAGCCATCAGATCCTGTGCCCGAAATGTTCGACACTTTGGTTTCCTTCTGATGCCTCCATCGCGGAGTGTGTTCAGCGGATCTCAAGCACCAACCCCGTGCCCTATCACTTGTGGCCCTACCATACGCTTGTGTCTATCTATGCCATGCTATCAGAGTCAAGCCGGGTGCTGGCCAATTCATAGAGAAATCATATCTTAAGTTTTGTGTGAAATTTATACAAAATTTAGTTGTGTTGGTCGAATAATATATTAATTTGCAATATGGCTGTTATAAGAAGGTAAAATCAGGATGATATGAGGGTTAAATGTTGGTAATATGTGGGTAAATTAAAGGTAAACCATAAGTAATGTTATTTTTCATAATGTTTCCGCATGTATGTGGTATTCAGTTGGTTCTTGGAGCGTGGTACCTAGGCACCGGAACCTTCACCTTGTTTTAAAAATAATTTATAAGGTATGATATATGAGTGTATAGCACACCTTTCACTTTTTATATTGGTATGCAATACTAGGGCCTTTTGTAGAGCACACCTGTCTTTTTGACGGTATTTTTCACTGCATAATTTCGTTATTAATCAGGGGTGAAGTGGTTCAAATGGTGGCAGTTTTACTATCCACATTCACTGAAATTTACAATAAGAAATAGATCCCAGGAAAGTAAGGCCGAAAACACTTGGAACTTATCATATCCATTTCAAATACCAGCTTCTGGATCATCTTCTTCACTTGCTAATGTGTCAACACACAATAATCTCAATTTCAATCATCAACGCTCTCTGTTCAATCTTCTCAAACAAACTTCTTGATTCAGCAACCATTTTTATTCAACTTCCATCTTGTTTCACTCTCCCCTCTCATTGGCCAGTTTTCTCTCAAGCCCCAACACTCTGTATATTATAAGAGTAATAACTTCCATATTACTTATCTCCCATATATTCATATCTGTGACAGTATGTAATACTTTTGTCTAGCGCACCTGTCATATTATTCAGGACTGTCATCTCGTCCACCAGCTACGATTCACATTGTTGATTTGCTCTTTTGGCAAACGCTCTTGTTTAACACTCTTATTGTGGTGTCATTGCCATGATTACAACGGTAAATACCTTTGTATATAGTCGTACCTATGGTCCAACGTACTCCACATTTAGTATTCGAATGCCCCTTGAAGCAATGAAAGATGGCATTGTTATTGGTATTGTGCAATGTTATTGTTGTGTCTTGTCTAAAAGGAATGGTTACTGCTGAAAATTTAAAAAAAATAATAATAATAAAGACAAAAAGTTGTTTTCATCAATAAAAATTGTTATCATTCATTTAATCATCTATTATGTTTATCATATTGACCAAATTATCATACTATTTTATTCTAAGTAATACAAAGCAATTTTGTTTGTTCATTTTGCTCACAAGATCAAAGTTTTCCATTTCGAAACGGGATTCTTAAAAACAAGGACGGTTTGTTTTTTTTTTAAGCGGAAAAATCGAATTAATTTTAAATGTGATCAAATAAATTAAATTGGGAGATGGGAATTTCGCGAGTTGCCGCTACCATTGTTTGGCGGTCTATTTCTAGTTCAGCTCTGATGATTCTCAAGGCAAGTATGTGTGGCTGTAACGATGCGTTCAATAGGCGTGCACAATAAAATTCCCATAAGGTAGCACCAATTTGGATTCGTGTATCGTGCGCCATTTGAATTACATCATTCAAATGGTTTTGTAAACTTGGAGTCGAGAAAAATAAACGAGATCCAGGAATTGGTCCACAGTGGCCATTGGACGTCACACTTCTACGCAGCATAAGACAGATATTGTCACATAATTTTTGTGATATGTCTAGTTGTACTGGCTAATCATGTTCCTAGTTCAACCTCCAAGTTACACAAATAAATCCTCTAGTTTGGAATTTCAGTGTTAACAGAGGCACGCATATGGGTTTGAACATTTCCTTTTCACATGCAAAAAGTATCTTTTGGTGAGAAATGCATTTTCATGTATTTACGCGAGCTATTATGCATTATTCCTAACCTAAAAATACCATATTCCTAACTTAAAATTACCCTTATTCCTAACCTAAAAATACCCTTATTCCTAACCTAAAAATACCCTTATTCCTAACCTAAAAATACCATATTCCTAACCTAAAAATACCCATATTCCTAACCTAAAAATACCATTATTCCTAACCTAAAAATACCCTTATTCTTAACCTAAAAATACCATATTCCTAACCTAAAAATACCCTTATTCCTAACCTAAAAATACCATATTCCTAACCTAAAAATACCCTTATTCCTAACCCAAAAATAACTTATTCCTAACCTAAAAATACCCTCAATATTTCAACTTTTGCTTCCCACAGATAACCTCCTATTGCTTTTAATGTCTTTGATAATGTTAATAGAAGCAAATAGTGTAACAAGCTTTTGGGCTTATTTGGATTGAAGACATCGAACTGAAAATAAAACTTATCATTCAAAGAAAAAGACAACTCGATAGCATTTACAAGGCACACTATAACATGAAACTTATATTAGTAATACGTTCGGGGGGGGGGGGCATATTCCTTTTGGTGTCCTGTCGGATACCAACTTTCAGCAAAGTCTTATTTGGTAAAATTCATTTCTTTTTTTCATTTTTTTTGTTATTGGATTGAAGACATCAAACTAAAAAAAAAACTTAACATTCAAAGAAAAAGAAAACTCTATAGCATTTACAAGGCACACTATAACATGAAACTTTTATTAGTAATACGTTCGGGGGGGGGGGGGCATATTCCTCTTGGTGTCCTGTCGGATACCAACTTTCAGCAAAGTCTTATTTCGTAAAATTCATTTCTGTTTTTCATTTTGTTTGTTCGCTGATGAAGAAGGCTTCTTGTCGACACTTTCATTGTTTGTTTGCATTACTTTTTTTTTCTCCCAGCTTTTCCCATACTTTTTTTCGTTAAGTAACATTAAATTTATTGAATAATTTCTCTAAATTTTTTACGTAAGTCTAAGGATTGATAGATCAAATGCCAAGGAAAATGTGTTCCAACAGATTATTAATTATGAAACATTCTTGGACTTCTAGTCGTCGGCTTCTCTCATTCAAGACGCCTGGTGTTTGGTGACATGGTACTCCCCTACCTGAATTAAGGCCAGAGTTGTAAGCAGGACCGGCTCGGTGTACCGGCACCTCGGGCAGTTGCCCGGGGCGCCATCAACGATCGTCCAAAATAGGAAATAAGCATTGCATGTGAGCGCCATGGTAGAAACTAGAAAGAACAATTAAAAAATATAATAATAACAATTTAAAAAAAGATAATAATAACAATTTAAAAAAAGATAATAATAACAATTTAAAAAAAGATAATAATAACAATTTAAAAAAAGATAATCATAACAATTTAAAAAAAGATAATAATAACAATTTAAAAAAAGATAATAATAACAATTTAAAAAAAGATAATAATAACAATTTTAAAAAAAGATAATAATAACAATTTAAAAAAAAGATAATAATAACAATTTTAAAAAAAGATAATAATAACAATTTAAAAAAAGATAATAATAACAATTTAAAAAAAGATAATAATAACAATTTAAAAAAAGATAATAATAACAATTTAAAAAAAGATAATAATAACAATTTTAAAAAAATAATCATAACAATTTAAAAAAAGATAATAATAACAATTTAAAAAAAGATAATAATAACAATTTAAAAAAAGATAATAATAACAATTTAAAAAAAAAGATAATAATAACAATTTAAAAAAAGATAACAATAACAATTTAAAAAAAGATTATCATAACAATTTAAAAAAAGATAATAATAACAATTTAAAAAAAGATAATAATAACAATTTAAAAAAAGATAATAATAACAATTTTAAAAAAAAGATAATAATAACAATTTAAAAAAAGATAATAATAACAATTTAAAAAAAAAATGGTGCTCTAAAGACTAACGAAAAAAAATGTCATCGTAAGGCTAATTGTTCATACTCTCATCGTTAGGTTAATTGTTCATAGTCTCATCGTAAGGCTTATTGTTCATACTCTCATCGTAAGGCTAATTGTTCATACTCTCATCGTAAGGCTAATTGTTCATACTCTCATCGTAAGGCTAATTGTTCATACTCTCATCGTAAGGCTAATTGTTCATACTCTCATCGTAAGGCTAATTGTTCATACTCTCATCGTTAGGCTAATTGTTCATACTCTCATCGTTAGGCTAATTGTTCATACTCTCATCGTAAGGCTAATTGTTCATACTCTCATCGTAAGGCTAATTGTTCATACTCTCATCGTAAGGCTAATTGTTCATACTCTCATCGTAAGGCTAATTGTTCATACTCTCATCGTTAGGCTAATTGTTCATACTCTCATCGTAAGGCTAATTGTTCATACTCTCATCGTTAGGCTAATTGTTCATACTCTCATCGTAAGGCTAATTGTTCATACTCTCATCGTTAGGCTAATTGTTCATACTCTCATCGTTAGGCTAATTGTTCATACTCTCATCGTTAGGTTAATTGTTCATACTCTCATCGTTAGGCTAATTGTTCATACTCTCATCGTAAGGCTAATTGTTCATACTCTCATCGTTAGGCTAATTGTTCATACTCTCATCGTTAGGCTAATTGTTCATACTATCATCGTAAGGCTAATTGTTCATACTCTCATCTTAAGGCTAATTGTTCATACTCTNGTATACATATGTGAAGTTAGTACACCGATGTGAAGCTAGTATACATATGTGAAGTTAGTACACCGATGTGAAGCTAGTATACATATGTGAAGTTAGTACACCGATGTGAAGCTAGTATACATATGTGAAGTTAGTACACCGATGTGAAGCTAGTATACATATGTGAAGTTAGTACACCGATGTGAAGCTAGTATACATATGTGAAGTTAGTACACCGATGTGAAGCTAGTATACATATGTGAAGTTAGTACACCGATGTGAAGCTAGTATACATATGTGAAGTTAGTACACCGATGTGAAGCTAGTATACATATGTGAAGTTAGTACACCGATGTGAAGCTAGTATACATATGTGAAGTTAGTACACCGATGTGAAGCTAGTATACATATGTGAAGTTAGTACACCGATGTGAAGCTAGTATACATATGTGAAGTTAGTACACCGATGTGAAGCTAGTATACATATGTGAAGTTAGTACACCGATGTGAAGCTAGTATACATATGTGAAGTTAGTACACCGATGTGAAGCTAGTATACATATGTGAAGTTAGTACACCGATGTGAAGCTAGTATACATATGTGAAGTTAGTACACCGATGTGAAGCTAGTATACATATGTGAAGTTAGTACACCGATGTGAAGCTAGTATACATATGTGAAGTTAGTACACCGATGTGAAGCTAGTATACATATGTGAAGTTAGTACACCGATGTGAAGCTAGTATACATATGTGAAGTTAGTACACCGATGTGAAGCTAGTATACATATGTGAAGTTAGTACACCGATGTGAAGCTAGTATACATATGTGAAGTTAGTACACCGATGTGAAGCTAGTATACATATGTGAAGTTAGTACACCGATGTGAAGCTAGTATACATATGTGAAGTTAGTACACCGATGTGAAGCTAGTATACATATGTGAAGTTAGTACACCGATGTGAAGCTAGTATACATATGTGAAGTTAGTACACCGATGTGAAGCTAGTATACATATGTGAAGTTAGTACACCGATGTGAAGCTAGTATACATATGTGAAGTTAGTACACCGATGTGAAGCTAGTATACATATGTGAAGTTAGTACACCGATGTGAAGCTAGTATACATATGTGAAGTTAGTACACCGATGTGAAGCTAGTATACATATGTGAAGTTAGTACACCGATGTGAAGCTAGTATACATATGTGAAGTTAGTACACCGATGTGAAGCTAGTATACATATGTGAAGTTAGTACACCGATGTGAAGCTAGTATACATATGTGAAGTTAGTACACCGATGTGAAGCTAGTATACATATGTGAAGTTAGTATACCGATTTGAAGCTAGTATACATATGTGAAGTTAGTACACCGATGTGAAGCTAGTATACATATGTGAAGTTAGTACACCGATGTGAAGCTAGTATAGATATGTGAAGTTAGTACACTGATGTGAAGCTAGTATACATATGTGAAGTTAGTACACTGATGTGAAGCTAGTACACCGATGTGAAGCTAGTACACCGATGTGAAGTTAGTACACCGATGTGAAGCTAGTATACATATGTGAAGTTAGTACACCGATGTGAAGCTAGTAT